AATAAGTCAGTAAGAGAAAGACAAATACCATATGATTTCACTCACATATGGAATTTAATAAATAAAACAAATGAACAGAAAAAGAAAAAAAAAAAAGAGAGAGATCAACCAAGAAAGTGACTCTTAACAATAAGGAACAAACTGATGGCTGGTGGTGGGGGTAGAGTATGGATGAAATAAGTGATGGGGATTACAAGTACACTTGTGATGAGCACCAAGTAATATGTGGAAGTGTCGAATCACTATATGGTACACCTGAAACTAATATAACACTGTATGTTACTGTATGTTAATTATACTGGAATTAAAATTTTAAAGCTTAATAAAACTTAAAATGAAAAAGAATCTCAGGACTGAAGGAGACCTTAGGAGTCACTGAACCCTAAAACTATCCAATCACCGCCATCTTCTCCCCCACTTCCCAAATCAATGGGGTTTTCTTGTAAAACCCCCTACGAGTGCCACTGCAACATCTGCTTGAATATCTCCAGTCGGACCATTCTACTGATTTATCAGGCAGCTCATTCCATACTCAAATGGCTGCTCACATATTTGGTTCAGAGGGAAAGAGAACAATGCATTTGGTTATAATATCTTAATTGTTTTCACCCCAGCATGTTTGACCTCTTCAAATGCATCTTCTCCTACTGCAACTAGTAGAGCAGAATAATTACCTTTCTAATTTTATGTAAAATATTCCTATTAATACTCTCCAAACTGCAATTGTCGTTCTTTGTGCCAGTGTTCCAACACAGTTTTGTATCTTTTGTTATCATTACATTTGCAGAGATTCTTATCTGTTGCCACTGACAAACCCATTTGTTTTTGTACTCAATTACATGTAATTAGTCTTTTCTTCATGAACAAAAGAACAGGTGTCTTTATCAATTCAATGCAAGATACCATGGTAAGGTTGGTTGGACCTACTAGTGAACCAAATAGCACAATTCTGACAGATGCTCATAGTAACAAGGTTTTTTTTTTGTTTGTTTTTGTTTTTTTATTCAAACAATCAAATGCTTTTACTCCTGCCCACACAAAGTACAGAAAGTCATTTTCACATCTTAGAGACATATAATTTTCTATTTAACAAATAAGTAGAATTTTAATCCCTCTGATATTTTTACCTTTCATCTCCACTAGGAAAAAGTATAAATAAAAATTATTTGCTTTTATTAGAAATTTTTCAATGAAAATATAGATGTAGGGGGAAGGGCATCAAAATAATTGACTGAAATCAATTAACTGAAAAACTGGTGAACTCTGAATAGTGTCTATAGCTCAATTAATAGTACTGTACCAGTTTTAATTACTTAATTTTGATCATTTTACTGTTGTTACATAAAATGATACCATTAGGGAAAACTGGGTGAAAAGTACATAGGAATATCCTGTATTACACTGTAATTTTTCTGAAGTCTAAAATTATTTCAGAATAAAAAGTTTAAAAAAATATATGGGTGAGTGAAGTCTTTAGCCAATGACTCAGAAAAACTTTTGCACATATGCATAAGGAGACATTCATTCATTCCATTTTGTTGTTGTTGAGTACTTACTATGCATTAAAGATCATTCTAACGATACAAAACAAAATCTCTTCCATCATGGAACCTACATTTTCCTGGGAGGAAGATAATAAACAAACAAACAAACAAACAAACAGCAACTGTGTGTGTGTGTGTGTATGTGTGTGTGTGTAGTTTTATGTCATGTGGTTATAAAAGCTATGAATACAAAAAAAGGGGGGATATCAGAATAGAGAGGGCCAAGGTGAGATGTGTCATTTTATAAAGGATGGTTAGGGAGGGTCTTTTCAACATCTATAAGAAATATCTTAGCAACACTACTGTGCTGCCTTAAAATAGAAATAACAATTATGCACCAAAAAGAGAATGGATAAATATATTTGGGTATATTTATGCAAAGACATACTTTACAAACATGAACATGAATAATAGAAAGCAAATATATCACCATCTATGGAGCTCACAACCATAATATAATATACATAGAAGTTATATACAGTAATGCTCTCACTTAAAAAAAGTTTAAAACATGCATAACAATATTATGAATTGTTTAAATATACATATATGAAATAAATGTGTTTTTAAAGCTGCATGGAAACGAAAACTGTTAAATGCAGAATAGCTGCTATATCTGATACTGAAGGAAAGTGGAACTCCATAGGGAGAGCATAGAGTGGGTTCAAATGCATTGATACTTTTACTTGAATTTAAGTCAGAGGTTGGGTATCCAGGTAGATATATCCTAGTCTTATTTATTTTGTACACTAAACTATTCTTAATACCAATATATGAAAAGGTGTGTGTAGGGGCGCCTGGGTGGCTTAGTCGGTTAAGCGTCCGACTTTCGCTTGGGTCATGATCTCGCAGTTCGTGGGTTCGAGCCCCGCGTCGGGCTCTGTGCTGACTGCCAGCTCAGAGCCTGGAGCCTGTTTCAGTCTGTGACTCCCTCTCTCTCTGACCCGCCCCTGCTCATGCTGTCTCTCTCTCTCTCTCCTAAAAATAAATAAAACATTTTTTTAAAAAAGGTGTGTGTAGTTGTTTATCTTAATGAAAAATATCTGAAATGTATGAATTCAATTTCTAACAGTATGTGATAAAATGTATCACCCTCGATATGTGTTATGCCTAATGCCATTATGCATGTATACACACACAGGCATATATATTTGTACATATGTATGTATGTAAATAAATATATAGGTATTTATATATTTACATATAATGCTGGATATTATATATATGTGTGTGTGTGTGTGTGTTTATATATATATGTCGAGCACTGTTCAGTTGAGCACTGTTCAGTTATTTTCCTATGAAATGGCAAAGGAAGGATTTTAGTCAGTTGAACTCACACTTTTTTTGCCCCTGCCCTTAAGCCACAGCCCCATGATAAAAGTCATCTATCTGCAGGATGCCTGTCTGGGGTATAGCTTCATCCTGTGGAATGGAGTGTGGCTATTTGGCTTACTTGGGGATTGAATCTATTTTCCTCAATTTATAATTTTTCAAATTTTTAAAAAGTTGAATGGACGATGCCGACAGAAGATATTAATATTATTATCCCCAGCCACCTCATTTTATAGAAAAATAAACTGAGATCCAGGGATACCTCAGAGATAGCACAGGTGATAGAGCGAAGCAATCTCCCTGATTCATTCCGTCCATACTTGCAGCTTCACTAAATCTACATGAAGTACAGATGCAATAGATGAAAATCTTATATGGAGAGAAAGGCATCCTCATTCTTCCATACTCAGTTGAAAATGTGAATCATTTAAAGAGTGCATTCCTACAACTACAAACCAACAATGCAAACCACAATAGGCTAATCAACCACTTTGCAGGAAACTGGGATGCAATGTTTTATAATAAGATCTTTTCTGTATTGTAATTTATATTTTGCAACGTGTAATATTAAGTGAACAAAGAATGATTTAGAAGGGGTGGGCAGGAACATTTTCACACTTTAGGAATCGCAGATCTTCCCCCCAATCTTTCATTTTAATTTAAAAGGTATTTCTGCATGAAATACAAGGCTTCTTAGATGACCTTAGGCAGTTTGGTAGATTGTCACCCTGGCCACAAAATTATATTCATCAGAAGACAACTCAATGGGATATATATTTGATAAGTATTTACTACGGGCTCAACACCAACGATCTAGCAGTGAATCCAAACAAACTTTAGGAAACTATATATGGCACCCTGAATAATTTTAAGATAACATGAATTTCCCCCTGGGTATCTGTGTATGCTTCTGCAGGAACTAAAAGATATGATGAGAGTGATCACTCTCAGCTCTGAGGCTTATATTCCAATTTTGTCTGAATGCAAATATACTATTGTGTCATACCTTGGTGATTTTGTTTAATTATTAAACTTGTCAACTTTACACTTGAATTAGTTAAAAATGAATTCCAGAAATATTATTAATAAATTTGAATATCTGGCACTTTATTTTAAAAAATTATAAACAAAATTTCAGGTCCACTAATCTTTACTAAACTGTTATTAACAAAACATCATCATACTATTTTAATATATTTTTCTTTTACAATCAGTAATTTAAGGCACCCGGGTGGCTTAGTCCATTAAGCATCCAACTCTTGATTTTGGCTCAGGTCATGATCTCATGGTTTGTGAGATGCAGCCCTGGGTCAGGCACAGACAGCACTGACCCTGCTTGGGATTCTCTCTCTCTGTCCCTCCCTTCTTGTGTTCTCTCTCTTTCTTTCTCTCTCAAAGCAAATAAATGAACATTTAACAAATTAAAAACAATAATTTTGTCATTAAAATAAACTCACATGTAATATACAGATGTATATACTCAATGTTTACCTTAAGAAGTAATTTCAGCCTGCCAGAAATGATGTTCAGAGAATTATTATAACACTTTCACTATTTGGTTCTAGGATTTATTTTTATTTTTTTTAATGTTTTTATTTATTTCTAGGAGAGAGAGAGACAGCGTGAGCAGGGGAGGGTCAGAGAGAGAGGGAGTCACAGACTGAAACAGGCTCCAGGCTCTGAGCTGGCAGTCAGCACAGAGCCCGACGCGGGGCTCGAACCCACGAACTGCGAGGTCATGACCTAAGCGAAAGTCGGACGCTTAACCGACTAAGCCACCCAGGCGCCCCTGGTTCTAGGATTTAAACCTCATCTTGCACTGAAGGTCTGCCTTGTTCCTGTGAATACTTACCACCATATTGACTCTAAACACTAGAATGGGATGATATTCTTATCCACTGACTATCTGGAAGTCCTCCAAGCCTCTACCTTCTCATTGAGTGTGTAACCTCTCTCAACTGTGCCTTTCCTCTAGGGAATCACAGCCAAAAAGGAGAAAAGAGACACCAGCTTACTAGCAGTTAAACAGTTCAAAAGGGAGCCTGACCACGCCTTAAGTGAAGACACACTGGACCATACACTTGATCATCATTAACTGGCCTGGGAGAAGCTAAGGTTCCTTACTGTAGTCACTGTTTTCGTCCTTGGTCCCGTCAATGGTACCATCTGGGTGCATCTGCAGGAAATACCCCTGCTGGCTGAATAACCTTGTCACAATTCCTTTCAGCTGGGGTTCTGCAAAACAAAATAGAATGATTATTCAAATCCTTATTTTGTTTATAAAAATATGCACTTGCAAACTGTCCAAAAATTCTCAAAAGTCACAAATGCCATTGCCTTAAATACTGAAATAAGTGTATGGAAAGGGGCCATTTCAGTAACATACCTTTACTCTTCTTTTTCCTTCTAGAGACAGAGCCCTAATACTGTGCAGCAGGAAACCAAATATAAACAGATAAAAATTAATTATGACTAAGAAAATAAAACGGCGTGCTTAAGAGTGAATTGTTTTTCTTCTTCATGCATCGAATGTCTGACTGCAAGATGCCACCAACTTTATGGTCCCATTCTAGAATCACTATTTAGACCAAACTGTCACTATAATTCCTAAGCTTCCAGCAGTCAAAATCAGGCCCTGGAAGACTTCTATTTCTGCTAAACGTCAACTATCCATCAGAAACTCCTGGGTTTTGAAATTCTGATCAAGTTCAGCTGGAAAGAAAGAATGGCTTGGATAAGAACCACAGGAAAAAGCAAAACCCCTATGGCCATGAGATGTCACTGAAAAGTATGTGAAAACAAATTTCACCTTCAATAAATACTTCACCAGACAGGAGGCTCAGCGCTACAAAAGTCATTTTTTCCAGTCCAAAAAAGAAAAAAAATAATAAATTCATGCATATTTCTCTAAGTATTTCACTAGCAGTGAAAGAAGTGGTCCTCACGAGAAGTGACCATTAGAAGAGGTCCTCAGCTCTTATAAACTCCCTACACACTAATACCATCAAACAGAACTTTGTATACCACATTTGGGTTTTTACATATCAGCTACCACAAATATTTAAAGCTTTCTCGTTGTGGTGCTGGCTGCCAGCAACAATTCATTTTCTGTAGCCTCACTACCATCTTTGTCTCTATTTTAGCACTAGGCAAAAATTAGACGCTTCTAATGCATTCCTGAAGTAGCAACATACTATCCTCAAAAGGACGATCACCGAATTTCAACTGACAGTCAATTTCATTCCTTCACCCATTTATTCAACCAATATTTACTCCGAATCTCTTTTTTTGTCAGACAATACGCTAGATACTGTGTGTTAAACCAAATACGTTGATTGATGTTTAATTCTACATCAGAACTCTAGTTAAGAATTCAGTGCATTTAATGCTTTGGGAAGGAACCTGCTCTCTATAGCATATGTCTGTGGTTAAACTTTTCCACATATGACTTGATCACATATATTCAGGAATATAAGGCATTGCCTATATAAAGATACCCTCCTCAAAGCAATCGTAAGAAGCAGAGCAGATACCAAGGGAACTTGGAATAATGAAGCAGGGTTATGAAAAAAAAAAAAAAAAAGAACTGAACCAGAAATTAGGCATTCTGATTGAAAACTATATGCTATACGTGTGTATTAAATAAATACATTTAATTTGTGCACCTTAATTTCCTAATCAATACTATCTAGAAGTCAAACTAAGCGATCTTTAGATCCCTTCTAGAAGTATCTGTTGACTTGGGGTACCTTAGAATTCTCTGCCCTGAGTGGTGGCAGAAATCCAAGCATGTCCAGTGTGTTGCCTCTGTGGGTCTCACCCAGTCTGACACATTAGGGACATACCGGAGGAGCACATAGATGGCTAACCTCACTGTACAAGAATGCCCTGTTCCTCAATTACCATCTATCAAACCTTACCAACTTTTCCAGGCTCAGCTCAAGATCACCTCCTCCAAGAAAGTTTGGCTATCATAACTGAGAGAAATATATAATTGGGGGGAATAAAAAGACCATGTGTGCCTCTGTCATGAGGCTAACCGACTGACAGGCAGGTGCTAATATGGCATACTTAATTCTATATATGCAGCCAGAAGACCCAGCTTTGAACCACAATTGCTGCGTGGTCCTGAGGAAGTTATTTTACATTTGAGGCTCAGTTTTCATACAAAGGGAAAAATAATGCCTATGCTAATTATAACTGCTGAGAAATTCAATGAATAAATGTAGGTGATAGTATGAATTGAAACTCATAAGAATATAAATCCTAGTTAAGGTCTACTTTCAGTGATGAAATCAGAAAGCAGCATAAGTGAAGTAAAGGAGCATTCTGAGAATGAACTTATATGTCTTCCGATTTCTGTTTTAGTAAAATATTAATTAAGCTCCTAAGTCATTAAAGTAAACAATGGGCTACAAGCAGAGGATAGAAAAGCATATAAAGAAAGGGACGACTGTCTTATAATTGATATTTTATTTCTAATAAGCTTGATAAGGTCACTTTAAGAAGTCATGTTTGGGTTGGTAATGAGATACATAGCAGCTGAGCCACTAATGCCAGCAAATGATTGTTTGTTTTTTCCATGCTCCTCTTTCTGTAGCTGTAATTAAGCACTTCTTTTGCTATGGGGAAGCCATCCCCTTGTAGGGGCCCTGGGAATTCAGGTTGGCAACTCCTGTTCAAGATAATGAGCATCAGGCATTTATACCATCCCCAACTGCCCCAAAGCAGTGCTCGAGTAAGCTCGCAGTCTGAGTTTTAATTACATGATAATCTATGAAAGCACACGTCTTGCACTGTAGATGTTTCAAAGGAGACTTGACCATCTATTGAACAAATGCTTTGAACCTAGGATGTGTCATAGAAAGCCAGGCCTGTACCCTGATTACCATCCGTCAGACGCTACCAACGTTTCTAGACTCAGCTCAAGATCATGTCCTCCACGAAGGCTTGGCTACTGTAACTGTGGATCATTTTTGTGATTCAGGGGTGGAAAGACCTGTTTTGTTGTATTTTAAAGAAAGGGCTTTAAAAACTGAGACCACATTTTTGGTAAACCTACAATCCTGGAGGCACTTAATAAATATGCTTTTTATTTGTCAGATTATCCTTGGGGGTCTAAGACATTAGTATATCCTGTGCTGTCTTCAGGGAGCACCCAGTCTACTGCATGGAACATATTTATATGTCATACTAGCATGGGATAGGTGTTAAATAAGGGGTAGAAGCAGAGTGGCATGATAATACCAGGAGTAAAGGACTCATTCTGTCTCAAGGTTGGGTGAAGGAACCTCACCCATCCCTTGAAGAATAAATGGCATTTTTCAGTCAGAAAAAGAAAACAAAACAAAACAGAGAAAGAGCATTCCAGACAAATAAACAATGGATATTTTCCAATTATGCGATTCTACTTGATTCTAAAATAATGTTCTTCTATTATTTTTTTCTTTTTTTTATTGAAACAATGGCTCTATTATTAGATGGTGAGGTGGCAGGGATTTGGTTTGTTATCTTTTGTACTCTAAAATGGTGTGGCAAATGCTGCTAGCTTTTCTCCCAAATCCATTTCCTCTTTTTCCTGGGCACCCAGCTAGACCATATGTCCTAGCCTCCCTTGCAGTTAGGTTTGGCAGATGAATGAGTGTCATATGGAATGTAAGTGGAAGTGATGTGTGCCATTTTCAGGCCGAGGCTTTTAAAAGCAAACATTCTCTTAATGCTGGCTGGATTTAGATGACAAAGCCCTAGGGGATGTCAACAAAATAGAAGAATTCTGGGCTTCTGAATAACTGATGGGAAAAAGGCCATAGCCATCAGAAATACCCACTTTGGACACTCAGGTGAACAAGAAATAAAATTCCATTGGTTATGCATGTGATTTCCTTCCAAAAAGAATAATAAGAAAAGGGGGAGGGACAGAGTAACTTCACAGGAGAGAAACCTAACAAACAAAACACTATCTCAGCAAGGTGATCAAGGTTACTATCAAAAGTCATAAATCATACTAGTAGCACATACTCTTAATATGACTACTTAATATGTGTACTTTATCTCTGTGGTGGTCTTCCGTACAATTCATAACCCCAGTCTAATCATGAGAAAAACACCAGGCAAATACCAACTAAAGGACAGTCTAAAAAATAGCTGACTAACCCTTAAATTGTCAAGGTCATCAAAAATAGGAAAAGTCTAAGAAAATGCCATAACCAAGAGGAGTTTAAGGAGATAGGACAATTAGATGTAATGTATTCTCGTTGGAGTCCTGAAATTGAATAAGAAAGTAGGTAAAAACTAAGGAAATCTGAATGAATTACAGACTTTGTTAATCATGATGTATCAACACTGATTTTTCTTAAGTTTATGTATTTATTTTTAGAGAGAGAGCATGCATGTGAGTGTGCTAGCAGGGGATAGAGAGAGAGAGAGAGGGAGAGAGAGAGAGGGAGAATCCCAAGCGGGCTCTACCCTGTCAGCATAGAGCCCAACACGGGGCTTGATCTCACAACCATGAGATCATGACCTGGGCCTAGATCAAGAATCAAATGCTTAACCAACTGAGCCACCCAGGCACCCCATCACTGATTTATTAATTTTCCTTTTTTTAATTAAAAAAAATTTAAATGTTTATTCCATTTTTGAGAGACAGAGAGACAGAGCGTGAGCAGGGGAGGGACAGAGAGAGACACACACACACACACACAGAAGCGGAAGCAGGCTCTAGGCTCTGAGCTGCCAGCACAGACCCTGACGCAGGACTCGAACTCATGAACCGTGACATCATGACCTCAGCCGAAGTCCTCCACTTAACTGACTGAGCCACCCAGGTGCCCCGATTTGTTAATTTTCATAAATATACCAAACTGATATAAGATGTTAATATGAGAAACTGAGTATAGTTTCAATGGGAACTCTTTGCACTAGCTTAACTTTTCTGTAAATGTAAAACCATTCTAAAATTAACAAGTTGAGTGATAATTACAGCTACAGAGCAAGTTAGAAATTTACTTCTTAGAGAAGTTGGGTGAGAAAGTCAATAAAGGATAGGAACTCATGCTCAACACTGCTTCCCTTCAGGATGACATGGCAGTTTCAACAGAGGTTAAAATCAAAGCCACTCAGAAGAGCTGCAACCTGGAAGAGCTATCTTGACATTCCTGCTGGCTTAGCACGTAGTGCTGTGGAACAGTTACCTAGAACATACTGGAAACCCAGAGCAGGTGGAACGATGAGGGCCT